TTGAACAAGAGCGGGAACACCAGCCTTGTGCCTCGAGATCCGTGCGGGTACCAGAAGCTGTAGACAGGGATTATTGAAATGTCCCGTAGGAAGTGTAAAGAGTGCAGGTGGTGTTTGGTGTATTTTGTAAGTGCTTTCGAGTGATCAAGGCGGTAGGTACTTATTAGTAGGTAGGTATTAAAGGTAAAAGGTTACCGGTACGGGGCGAAAGGAAGCTCTGAATGATTTGATCTTCAAGTAAAATCTTTCTAGAATATGGATGGGAATCTAGAGCCAAACTTCAATGATTCTTATATCAACTCCATACAAAGAGAGATATCTATAAGTAATCGACCAGATGGATCAGTCAGTCAGTCAATCAATCAATCAGTCACTCACTCACTCAATCAATCAATCCTTTCACGAGAATCAATGGAAGTGAATATCAGAGGCTATTTATGCAAATGAGGGAGTTCCTGTTAGGCATTTAACCGTACGTAAGGTTCACATTGAATATCTACCTAGATAGGTATCTGCTAGCTGGGGTGTAACTTGTAACAAGCCTACGTGATCGTTACTGCCTTGAAGGAATTCTAATAAAAGCAAGCAAGCAAGCAAGCAAGCAATCAAGCATGCTGACTAAACACGAGATGATAAATAACATTGTATTCCAAAGGTCGTGAGAAGAAGTATGTCTTTTCATTCTTTTGACAAAAATCTACTTAATCAATAGAGCCTACGAGCTATACACTATATAAAAGATACAAGCAAGAGTAGACGGAGTATCATGTTGTGTTCCCAAGAAAAACGAATATGCCGAAGTGATATCTACCAACGCCAAGCCAAACACACATCCAATGTGCCTCATATTCCAAAATTTATATATGCCTAAACCCAATGCTTTTTATGATAACAACGCCAATATTGATACAATAGTATTTCCTGTGGATGTTACGACAGGGGGGAACGAGAAGAAGGCCGACGGCGAATACAGTTAATAAACGATTTCCATCGGCTGTTCTTCCGTTTTACTGGAGGAGGTTTGCCATGGCCATCTTCGCTCTGCCCATCCATAATTTTGTTGCCAGCGTTTTGTGTATCTGTGCTTGGCATCATGTGAGCAGACTGCACTCTTCGATGAGGAGTCTGCGTAGGTGACGCAACGGTACCCAGCCCAGGAGGACAAGAAACGCGGTTCGAGATATTTGCCCTGTCATTTTGACTTTGGCTCTTCTCAGGAATTTGAGCTATGCTTTCTCCTTCACTATCGCTGGCAATTGTGTTTATTCTGCGGCTTGCTGCCCTTTGCATGAACGCAGCACCAGTAGATGTGGCTCTCGCTCGCCTTGGTGATGTAATCGTATCCTGTGACGAAGACGCTGTGACGGAATTTGCTTTACCAATGTTGCATCTGAGAATCTTTTCACCGATGACCCCGAATGCGGATTCGGGTGTGCTTGAGCGAGTGGAAGTCAGAGCAGTAAAAGACGTTGATCGCATTTGATCTGGTGTCACTGAAGATGTTCTAGTTCTCCCGTTCATAGAGTCTCTTGAGCCTTTATTTTGGCTGAAGGTAGCCATAGCATCATTGTATTTGAAATAAGGAGACCAGCCTTGGCGTAAAGAGACCCATATTCCCGTGACTTGAATCAAAGTCCTCGTAGTCTCGTCCATGAGTTGAGGCATTCGCTCGATAATCGTGTCCATCCCGACATCCTCATCTTCGAGCTCACCAGATACCTCACTCACCGGTGTCGTTGTGGTTTCTGTTCCAGGCGGAGGAGATAATGAGGTATAATAATCCGGGATGTCCAATTTTGTTTGAGTAATAGTCGCCATAATTGCATGGCGGCGGGTATTTGGATCTATGATACTGAAATTGAATTTGACATCATTGTTAGGCAAATCGGAAATATTGTGATGACATGCTCTTTTCACCCATCGAATAGTGGTCACCTTTGCTCCTGATTCGTCAAACTTCGTCATTTCATAAGAACCTGTTGGCAGTGGGCATGCTAACCACACAGAACCATCGCCTAAAACTATCTCGGCTTTTCCTTGAGAGCCCCCTTCATCTTTGGGCATTTGGCAAATAACTGCAACAAGATCTCTATGCGAGAACCCCTCGTCATCAGAATCTGTGTCATCAATGGAGTGATCCGGTGTATCGTAGTCTTCGCTCTTTACAATCATTATGTCATTTGCACCCAATTCACCTTTTCCTCTGAACATCCGAGGAAATCTCTTGGCCAATCTGGAGACGACAACGGTCGAAGGAAGGACATCTAATGTAGGTTTGGGCCTTTTATCGACTGATAATAATTGCAATTGCATTAGCAATCTTGGGCGAATATTCAATAACCGTTGCTTGTGTGTCAAAGTCGGAGCTGGGTGTGCCAAGCTGTATGCTGTGCTAGCTTTGGATGATCTCCTGCGCCGTCGACCTCCAATTGTCGACCGACTTCCTTCCGAGTTCGCAATTGATCTGCCATCTTCGCTCATTCTCTCCGGTTCAGGCTCTTGGAATCGAACAGTGTGCACCTGTTGATGTTCTAATTTGCGAGGTATATATTCGGATAATGCTCTTGAGCGTTGAGTTGATAAAGCCGGTATTGAATCTTCATTAGTTGTGGATAATTCTGGGCCAGGATTCGAAAAAGATGATCGATTCAAAGGTGATCTTTTAGGCATGAAATCGCTGCGAGGACGAGCAGGAAGGGTAGAATGTGAGTACTCATGGTTGTGCATGCCGGCTGCTGAATGTAGAAGCATATTGGTGAGAAGGGACGTCCCAGCAAAGGGACGTCCTCGTGGAAGAAGGTATCCTCGACTGCGAAATTGCTTTTTTGGAGGATCTGAAAAGTTTTGAGACTTTGGGGGCGCTATTAGTCTCGATGTTCTCCGTATGCATGGAAGGAGGTATGTTCGTAGGGCTGGCAGAGAGCAGGCTAGAAAAAATGTATGTATAAAGCCAAGAAGTGGATTGATCTAATGGCTGAAATCAGACGATAACGATACTGCTTGTTTTCAAATTCACACAGACGTAAGAGCTTGTGGAATAGACTTTATATTGAGAGTGCTTGTGGTCAGACATTCGCTGGAGGCTCAAGATAGGTCTTACAACACCAGATCTATTCACATAGTCATCATTGTTCGATATGGTCAGCGAATCCCGCACAGCGACGTAAAAATTGAAGGAGATAGAATAGAGAAGCAGACAGAATTCGAATGAAAGAGCTGAATGTCAGCAGTAACGTCTAAGTATGTATGAGTTGGCTGGGAACTAATCTGGTAACCTTGAAGTGTTGACAAACAAAAGAAGGTTCAATCCCTTGGATCAAATAAACTAAATTCGAGTGGAGTTCCAAACGGAAAGACCGGGTTTGGCAATACCTCTTTTGTATGTTTCTGAAAAGCAACAAATAGACGTCAGTAATTTGAAGTAGGTAATCCTTGATCAGGTACTTGAACATCCCTTACAATGATCAGCCGATGCTGCATATAAACACCTGTAACCCTACCTGCCATGCGAATTTGGTCTCCGAGACTCAGCAAAAGCCCCACCTAACATACAATGTATAATGTATTCCTGGATTTATATCAAACCATCCGTTTGTTTTTTAACCCTCCGAGCCCTCTCTACACGACTGCATAGTTTTTCATAAGCGCATGCACGATTGGCCTCGATAAGAAGAAAGAGTTTGTCATTGAGGGATGGGTTCATGTCATGGCAGAAAAGAGAGGTCGGTGCAGGTAATGTTTTCGGGTTCCTCGGATTGGGTCCGAGATCCGAAATTTCTGTTTCATAGGTACCTACGAGGTAAGAATACCACTACAGAGTACTCGTAGGTAGGTAGGTAGGTAGTAATCTATATCAGCGGAAGATCGGACAACTATCAAACGACGCTTAATGCAAGAGTAATTGTTGTTATAGAAAACAATGTACCAAATTTGCACCTACCTACTAGGCAGTATCTAGATGAAATCATTCATTACGCTCATTCTGAATAGTCTTTCCTCATGATAGCCTTGAAAATACACGTTTTGCTGTATTACCATCAAGTGGTCTACGACGTATGATCCTGACGGACTTATGGAAACATATACATTTTCCGATGCAGCCCCGATTCGAAAATTTTGAATTTTCACACTTCGTTCGTACTGTGCTAAATGCACAACGTACCCAAGTAGGTATTGCTGCAATTCTCGTTAGTTGCTTTTGATCGCAGGGGTCTCAATGACTCGATCTCGATTACCAGATGATCAATAGATACTTCAACTGGTGCGTCGTGCTACACGACAGGCCTCTTCCTCTATACTTTCTTCTCTCTCTGTATCAGGATCTAGCTAATGATATCCTTCGAAAGGAGTTTGGGGCAAGAGATGATACTAGGTAGTTAATTAGGGCCTTGACTGAAGCTAATCATGAAATCTGTCTAATGAGATTAGGATAAAAATAGGCTAGTTTCAAAAAAATAATACCTTCCAATCGACCAAAATTTGATCAAACACTGCATCAGGAAAGGCATACTCCGTACGTATACTCATCAGTATCTGCTACCTAGATACTTGTTATATCCCTCAGTTCATAGAGCAACGAGATATAATTCTTCCTGCAAGCCATCGAGGACCTTTGTATCCACTGTTAATAAGAATAAGCCTGATTAGCTTTGGATTATGATTGATCCTCTTTACCTTGTTTCTGTCTACTCTTACTCTTACGATGGTAGAACTTCGCACAACAGACCTTCAAAATCCTAGGTACTTAATATATCCATTGAAATTTTGAATCGTACATGATCCATAAACTCGCAAGGTACGGAAATTCTTATATCTCCGCTACAGATTCAAATCTCTTGGCATCGAATCCCTCGGGTAACCGCTGCTTAGCGAGATGTGAATATCTTTTCACCGCTTCCTAATCTTATCGCAACCCCTGTCGAGGAACACACGAGGAATATGATGTGAAGTGTTCTCTCTAAAAGGGCTGAACCCAACTGCCGAAACCTCATTTCGTCATTATGGCTTCGATATATCTTCATCCGCTTGGAACACCAGTTCGTACCTTGATACTATGTTTTATACTCTGGAAGATCTCGCTTCTGCTCATTGCAGCTTGTAGTCCAGGTCCAGGCTATGACACATCCACCGGTTTGTTACTGTCGAGTCTGCATTCGATTGGAAAAAAGAAGTTACCATCGGTAGTGCAGTACCTCATCGGCAAGTTGGTAAGATGGGATGCAATTTACTTCGTACACGCGTCAAATCGCGGATATGTCTATGAGCAAGAATGGGCGTTCGGGTGGGGCTTCACCCGCATCATAAAATTCAGCACGATGGGTAAGTATGGAAATAACTGCCTGTCTGTACGCGTCGTTGACCAAGGTAGGACTTGAATACCTTGGGGTACCCCACTGTGATGGGCTGGAGGGGTTTGTGGGGGTCTTGATTGCTCACATCTCCCATTTGTTTTCGACTCTAGCCCTGCATAACCTGACCTTAGCACTCTTCCCATCAAAGAGATTTGCTTTGGTTACTGCTCTTCTGCACATCATATCACCAGCTGGAATATTTCTGTCGGCTCCATACGCTGAAAGTTCGACTGCGCTATTGACATTTTTGGGAGCACTTCTTTTTACGAAAAGTTTTGGGTCTGGAGTGAGCAACAGAACTTTAGGCCACGACCTTCTTGTTCTTATTTCTGGCGTGCTATTCGGACTTGCTACTACTTTCAGAAGTAATGCATTGCTCAATGGGCTTCTCCTGCTTGAGGAAGCATTCAAAATTCTCTTGAGTCTGAGTAATGGGTTCAACATGCCCACCATTCGTCGCCTCATTATTACTGGTTTGGGAGGCGTGTGTGTTGGGATTGGTTTTCTCACACCACAGTATATCGCATATCAAGAGTACTGTGGAGCAACGGACATCACGAATCCAAGAGTATGGTGTTCGAATACCCTGCCAAGTATATATGCTTTTGTGCAGGCTTTTTATTGGTATGTCGATGGATTTGATGGAAAGCGGATCGTATCTAACATTCACTAGGAATAACGGACCGTTCAAATATTGGACAATCTCAAACGTACCTCTGTTTCTACTTGCAATGCCTATGCTCGTAATCTTGGGAGTATCTGGCAATGGGGTATTACGAGACGCTCACTTCCAACAAACCCCAGTCACCTCGCAGAAAGAAGTCAACCCGCCAATCAACGGGGTCCGACAAGCCGATAAAGTCCAGATCATCCGGAATCTAGCGCTCTCACAGTTGATTCTCACAGTATACACGTTGACAAGCGGTCATGTTCAGATTATTACAAGGATCTCATCATCTTCTCCTGTATATTTATGGCATATTGCGGCTTTGGTTGGGAGAGGAAAGGGTCCAACAGCCACAATGGTTGGAAGGTTCATGATAATATATGCCGGCATCCAGAGTGGTTTGTTCTCATCATTCTTACCTCCTGCATGACATGGAAACAACAGTTGGGGATTTGGAAATGCTGGGATGATGTTGGTATTTTATTAGAACATATCAAGTGAGAATTAACTCTGGTAGGCTACTTATGAGCTTTCTCGTTCCGTCAAATACATACCTAGGTACGAAAAAATTGGCAAGACGATATACCTAGGTAGGTATTCAATAGTATCCAATCGGAAAACTGCATTCTTTTCATAATGGACTAATAAACAGTAAATCATCCCCAATTAGAAAGTTGCATCACCTAAATAAAAGTAGAATTATCCTATTCCAATCAATCGGAAAGCTGCATCAGTCATTAGATATCTTTTCACATGGTTTACCTTCATGTCGTTAACCGCCTAAGGCATCCTACTAGCTCGGTTTAGGAACTAGCTGCATATCTCGAAAAGTGTTCACACTCCACATCTGCCACTTAACGAAGCTTGCACTGCACTTCATTTCAACCTTACAAGCAAAAAATATCATTGCATTAATACAACTTACTACTACTATTACATTTCTTCTTCCACTCTTTTCTTTTTACTGGTCTTTCAGCAGATCTTTCTCTTATAATTTATAGAAGACTTCTGAAAAAGGTCTTTCACATACGCCAAAGTTCAAGGAATAATAAGAAGAAGAAGAAGAAGAAGCAGAAGCCCTTCAAGCTACTTCGTCATAATATGATTTTGCAAAGTTCAAGTACTTCAAATATCTAATTCGATTGTACCACAACACAGTTAATCAATCTATCACTCAATCATTCATTTATTCATTGTGAATATTCACTCTTACAAGTGTTTCGATATAGTTTGCGAAAAAAGAAAATCGTTGTACGGATTACTTTTAAAAATAAATATCCAATTTGGAACAAGTCGTCGAACCTTGGACTCAACAAAAGACTCAGTCAACTTGACAAATTCTTGTTACAGCCATGTGGCCAACAAATAACGGCTTTCCAAACAATGGGCAATATCAACCAAATAATTTCAATCAAGATGATCTATCTGGAACTACGCCACTACAGTCTGCTTTCTCTGGCGGTGGACCAGGTCCAAATTTCTTTCAACAACCAAACATATTACAATATGATGAAATGAGTATTGATGGTTACAATGGCTTCTCTCCCGAGATTCCTGTGTACAATCAGGCAGCTTTCGCACAAAATCAATTTGTATCTCCCAATCGACCACCAGTAAGTGCTTGGGACAGACGACCTAACCTTTACTTTGGACTTTAGGGAGCAAGCGCATACAGCTAACCTCTACCTACCTGCCCAGTACTCCCCTCAATTGAACTCAACTAATAATAGTGTGGCTCCTCCTACTCCTACGCCGACGAAAGAACAGCTTGCTGCCAAAACTGCCGAATTAAGAGCAAGATTGATGAAGGGAAAAGAAGGCCGAGCCAACTCAGCTACCCCACCAGTTCTTGCGCCAGCAAAACAAATAACTGCGATAGAATCGTCGAGCTCACTACAACCATCCCCTAAGAGTCCTGCTCAAGGGGTAAATATCGACGAACACTTACGCCGGGAAAAAGAGATAAATGATCTCATTTCCGATTATTCTGAAACCAAACCAAGACCAGGACCAAAAATGAACCTTGTGGCAGGAAATGGTACTGCCAAAAAAACACCTCCTATCAATACAAACATAGTATCTGCGAACCCCCAAATCTCAGGAACTCCTACAAAAATCAAGAAATCTAGCAGTGATCGATCTGGCAATACTTTTCTAGCAGAGGGCGAAGTCAGGACTGTCAGAAATGGGTCGATGTCGGAAGGAGAGATACTAGATGAGCCTAGCCCTAAGAAGCTTCCGCCCACGGAGCCAAAAGGAAATCAGATCAATATAAAATCGGCTAACATTAATGATAAGTCTCTTAAACCGGAAGATGAGCGTATAATCCGACCAGCTCATATTCGTGTAAAGGCTGAAGAACCTGGCCCCTTGACTCGACGTCCAGCACAAGCACAGCCATCAAAACCTGAACCTCCTCGTTTTCGAGATGAACGCAGAGAAGAGGGCGACTATCGACTTGAGAGAAATCCAGCCTCTGATCATAGATATGAGAAGAAGTCGCATCAAGACACTGACAAAAAACATCACCCACGCAGATTTTCTCGTGATAATAATGATGATTATCGCCGTCCCGAGGCTGCGAAGGAAGAAATCAAATCTTCACGAGAGTCTAAACCACCAACACTGGCACAAGTTTTACTCCATGACACTGATTTGAGGGAATGGCTGGACATGACTCAGTATCATGATGTAGTGCACAGGAACAAGTTCTTGAAAACTGCACGAGCTCTAAAAGAACTGGAAGAACAAAAAGCCAAGCTCTTAGCAGGTATACAAGACGGTCAAAGTCTTGTAAATTTTAACGTAGGGAACTTGATGAACAGCTTAATACAACCTCAGAATACCTCAGCGGTAGCGGAGCCTACAGATCTTCATGATCGTTTGACATCTAACAAGCGCAACTACAGTGAAGTCCAAGATTCTCAAGTGGAAGCAAACTATGGAAAAGTGGCACGCCTTGAGGATCGAGAACATGAAAATCGCCGTCGACAAAGTTCGGTAGACTATGATTCCTCTCGCCGCACCAACGGTGACCGTGGAGGTCGTTCTTATTTTGAAGAGTCTCGTAATCGTGGTCGAAGCCGCAGTAATGATCGTGAAGTGTCACCCGGTCTAAGGACCTTTGAGAGCAGACCCCCTGCACGGACTGCACGCGAAAGATCTTTTGAAGTACATGGAAGCTACAGGGGAAAGGCCTTTGATCCAAATTATCGAGGTCGAGGAGGTCGGGGAAGAGGCCGTGGTAATTGGGAGGCGCATGAGTCAAGGAGTGAGGCTGGGTTTGGATCGCGAAATGCTCTTGGCAAGCCTTACAACGATTCAAGAGGTTTTGATCGAGGCGGTAAAGGTGGTCAGTGAAAATCACCCATCTTTTCCGACACTTCTATTTATCATATTTCAAGTCAATAGAGATTGCTTTAGTAGCGTTTTCTTGATACCCATGCAATTAGTTAAAAAGTATTCTATCAGAATCACTGTCTTGTTTGCTGTGAAGTTGAGTGACGAGTGTCTGCCAATAGTTTTAGAATATTCCTGAGGAGAGTTGAGTCATTCACATACTGACGCTATCAGATACAAGATATTTCATAGTAAAATCTTTCAACGATGAAAATGTTATTAAATGTATAGAAGATGTAAGTCGGTTAGAATCAAGCAAGCAAGACCGATTCAGCTAATATCTAAAAGGGTATATGGACCACCCAAGCACAAAATGGACCGCTCTTCAAGGAAGCTTTCGAGACCTGCAAAAACGTTATTCTGATATTCTCAATCAATAAAAGTCGAGCTTTTCAAGGTTATGTATGTATTCCCTCTCCAGTTTTTCTTCCCAAATTCCCCAACTCATCATGGTAAACCAATAGGCGAGAATGGAAACCCTCCCCGGCGCAATTAAAGTCCCTTCCTGGCAAAACTCGATTAATTGGGAGAGCGCCGGAGCATTTCGAGTACGATGGCTAGTCATTTGTAATGTGAGGTTTGGGAAGATAGGACATTTGAGAAATGGATTGAATGAGAATTTACCCGTGCTGATTGGGAAGGATGGACAGGAGGTTGAGGAAGGGTGTGGGAGGGAACTGTGTGAGTATTTGGATGTGGAGGTGGAGGAGGTCTTGGGGGGTGGAGAGGAGATGGCAAAGGGTGAGCGGGGTCAGGAGGTAAGTTGGGGTGAATAGGGTAGAGGGAGGGTGGGGACTGGGACGTTGAACGTGGTTTGTCGGAAAAGAAATATAGGGGGTAGTATATTTGAAGGGGGAAAGGAATCTACTGTGGATTATCTTGTAAGTGAATGGGTAGGATCTCTAGTCCCATTATTCGTTGTTTATAATTTTTCTATCTTATCCTTTACACTGCATTGCGCCTTGAGCTTTTTATCAGCCAGCTAGTACATATATACATACGGAAATAAAAAGTCACATTGTTATTACTATTGTTATTGTCGCCAGGTATCTGCTTCGGTAAACATATTTTCGATGAGACATACATGCTCTTCGCGGTACGTCTCAGGAGTCGGTAATCACAACAATTGATTTGTGAATTGTTTGAATTAGCTTGGATACATTATTAGCGGCTTCCTGTGATTTCTGCTGGGCTAGTTTTCGGATAGAGTTTCCGTGCAAAGTGTTTGTTCAGGAGTGTATCGTGCATGCGCCTCTTTTTAACATAGTAACTTTCTTCTTAAAGAGCTAAATGCATAGGAAAGCAATCTCATCATTGGTTTAGACTGTTTTCCAACAGTGCGTTTGCTTATGCTGCACTATAACCATTCCCATTGAGTTGCATATAAAATTTGATGATTTCATACCTATTCCGTTACTTTACTCATCCTACTATTTTCAATTGTTCAGTATAATTTCCACACACCATGACTTCTATATCCCCAGAAAGCCTCCTCTCCGCACTCGAAACCATCGCATCTAATCCGCCCGCTTCACTCCTAGAAAACCACGTCCTGAAAACAAAATTACGTCTTGCAGCTCGAGATTCATCGCCTGTTTTAGAAACCCCTGCTGATGCTCTTGCGAGAGTATTGCTTTCTCAGGTATATTTATTTCGTGAAATACTCTACATAGTATCGTTTTTTAAACATTTGCTGAGCTTCATGGTTGTGAAGCCTGTAGAAAGTGTTTGCATTCGTATCGCATGGGATTTGGATCTGTTACATCTGCTATCCATCGGAGAAAAAACTTTGCAGAAGTTGGCACAGGTTACTGAAGCAGATGTTGTTTTGCTTGGTATGATTCTCCGTGTTGGTTGTACATGTATTTCAAACTAACATGGGAACTTGAAAGCACGTCTACTCTGCTTTCGGTGCGATTAAAGAGAATGGACAGTACTATATGCTGTCTTCTTCCTATGCATTATTTGCAGACTCGACCTTCACAAAGGAAGTCGTGACTTTGTGATTCTGAGCATTACGCACCTCTACTAGACGCAAAAGCTAATTGCGGGTTTCGCAGTGCCGATTTTCTGGGTCCAGCGTACTTGGCCTTGCCTAGATTCCTCGCGGATAGAAAATATAAGAACCCGACGGATCCGCAGAATACTGCGGTGCAGACTGCGTTTCATTATCAAAATAAAGATTTATTTGGGATTCTTAGAGAGAATCCCGATACTGCGCAGGGGTTTGCAACGCTGATGAATACCTGGGCGTAGGGAAGCTCGTTGGTGCAGGATATCTTCCCCATGGGTCGGTTTCTGGCTGAGGGCGATGGTTCGATCGCGGCTTTGTGGGTGGACGTGGGAAGTGGGTATGGTCAAAAGACTGTCGCGCTGAGAGCTGCATTCCCGAATCTGGAGGGCCTGTTTGTGGTGCAGGATTTGAGTCATATTATTAGTGGTGCGAGTAGGAATGAAGGAATCGAGTATTTGGTTCATGATATTTATATTGAACAGCCTGTTATAGGTAAATTTCTTGATTTCAGCTCCAAATCGTGCATATAAATTGGGTTTCATATCGATATCTACTAAATGGTTATTAACTAGGAGCTCGAGCATACTATATCCGTCAGGTTCTTCATGATTTTCCTGACGACAAATGCGTGGTTATTCTCACTCAACTGTGCAAAGCTATGGAGCCGGGTTACTCCAAGCTCTTTATACATGAACAGATTGTTCCGAGATCGGGAGCGTCGGTATGGGCAGTGACGCAGGATTTCAATATGATGACGCTTTTGGGAGCGGCAGAGAGAACGTGAGATTGTTTTGTGGATGTGCTCTCTCGGTCGCGGTTGGGAGTTTTGGGGTTTTATCCGGCGCCGGATGGAGTTTCAGAAGGGCTTGTGGAGGTGGAAGTTGAGGAAGGATGAACTGGTCAATATTATCTCTAGATACTGGAACTGCGTTAATAGTGACTGACAGTGAAGTATCTTGTACGAGCACAGTATATGATTCGATCGGAGGTCATCTTAAACAAACAATCATCTACTTTGGTGTTAATCCTCTGAATCGGTTTAAATACTGTAAGTCTAGTCTATGATGATGTGTAGAAAAGCCGTCCAGTCCGAGATCATCTTACAAGCTTCCATAACAAACTAAAAGCAAGGACTGGCTCGAAAATTATGCTTTTCTCCTAACAATCCTTAACGGCACTGGGTGTTTCATTTTTAAGCCCATATCAAATACAGCATCATGTGCCAATTGCTTTTCTACTTTCTGAACAGTGCTCGCATAGTCCTTTCCTGGTTCGCAAATCAGTTCTACACTAAACTCGCTCAATAACCGAGTAGTAGCCGCGCAGAATTCGGCCTGCGCAAATCGTTGTCCGGGACAAGAGCGATGGCCCTCGGCGAATGGAATATACGCTCCTTCAGACGGGTTGTATGCTTTTGACACTGAGGTATGCAGCCAGCGCTCCGGGTGAAAGTCGGATGAGGAATATGATGGCGTTTCTGCATGTGTTTTTAGGATCTCGGACCAGTATTTGGGATTGCGATGTGTGGCGCTTGTGTTGATCATGACGAGTGTATCGCGAGGTAAGATGTGGGTTTGATTACCTATTCTCAATGCTTGCTCGTTGGTTTTGTTGATTTTGGGTAGAAAGGGAAGGACGGTGTAGAGTCTAAGTGTTTCTTTCATCAGCGCACCGACGTGGCCGTTCATTAGTTTGGAAAAGCCAGCCTTATACGACCACTGACTTGGTGGACGGCCACCAATGATAGTAGTGATCTCAGCTTGTAGAGAAGATTGAAAATCAGGTCTACATGCCAGAAGAATCACAGCGCATGTGAATATATTTGCGCTCGTTTCGTGGCCCGCAAGAATGAAGATGAAGATGTTACCGAGGATCGCAGCCTCGGGGATCGACAAGTCGGGACTGCTGAGTCCAGGCGTACCGGCTTTCACAAAGTGCTCGATGAGAGTCCCTTCTTCTTTTAGATGGTGAGTTTGGAGATGTTTGGCGGTGCTGTCTCGCATCTCTTCCATGTATTTTCCCCATTCTACGAATGCTTCCTTTGCGGTTTTTTGTATTTTCAAGGGGGAATAGTCTTTTACAACTTAGTATGTACGAAGAGGTAAAGGTACTGGAATGACTTACTGAGAATTGGTCGAGGGGTTAGAAATATAGTACTGTTGTACTCGAAAACGCTACTTATCGCACGTTCATAAGTCAAAGTATGCCCTGGACTGGGTTTCGTATCATCCTCCGTCCACGTGATTGTCTTTCCAAAGAACACTTTGCTGATGACATGCAAAGCAAGCTTTACGGAATCGCTATTGAGGTCAGAAATAGAGCTATCATCGAGCCACTTTTGCGTCATCATCTCGGTTTGCTCAATGGCACCTGTCCAAACCGCCTGAAAAGTTTTGTCATTGAAAGATGGCGAAGCGACTTTTTTGAAGACACGATGCTCTTCGCCCTCAGCAGCGGTGATAGTAGGCCCATAAATGTTGAGCATATCAAGCATTTCAGTCGGTTTAACAAAATCGATGCGTCGGGCAGACACCTGCGTGATGACTTCGGGACCGCATGTCCAGAGTATATTGCCCCCCGCGGAAACTATCATTATCGAATCATCATTCATTCTCTTGAAGGGCTCATAGCCTTCATGCCAGGTCTCACCCCACTTTGAAAGCGGGAGCCACGACTGAGTCCATTCTCTGGGAAGTCTGGAAAAGAATGGTATAAAGATATTTTGGAGGATGATCCATGGTATCGATTGGAAGTACACTCTACAATAAATATTCTTCAGTAAGTAAATATTGCTACATGACAGGGAAGGACTTACGGAGAAATGGCATATTTAAACCCCGATTTTTTGGCTTCCTCGATTCTTCGCTGTAGACTTCAATATTGGGAAAATGCAAAAGCACTTACGACCACAGTCGTAGAAAGTAAGATGGTAGAAACCATGATCCAATAGTTTGAGGATATTGTCGAAAGACCAGATCTTACTGAGCTGAAACTTTCCTGAGAGTGGAAGATGAGAAAGCTATGCAGAATTCTTTGGGATAAATTCTAGCAGATTGGGCGGACTGAAAGTACGAATGCTTTTTCAGACAGTTGACAAATGTCAAGTGAAAGGATATAATTGGTGGGGCAAATACGAATAAGCATATCTGACGTTCTCAAAAAGTTGAAAATTTGCCCTTAAAGCATCTAGGCTGCTGTACTTTTGTATTACCTAGCAATACCTCGCATAACTCATCATATCCTCATCATCAAATTAGACTATAGTCTGGATCTTCACTACCCACTTGGGTAGGTACCCTTGACCATAAGCAAGAATCTGACGGCATGCATAGTATAAAACTGAGTGAAATTTGTGTAGACGCCCTCTGAACAAATCTTTGGTTCACGAGTTGTTACAATAGTAAAACCAACGGTATCGTTAGGTGGGCGTACTTTTGAGGTTTATCTATAAAGTCGAATTTGGACCATAGATATGTTACCCCATATTAATCGGGAAAGGGGACAAGATTGGAGCGTATGTAGAAACGATATAAAAGATGCATTTCAGGCGAGGATTCGCAAATTGGCTGTTGGTGATAGTTGGTGACTGTTGGTAGCTGTTGGTAGCTGTTGGTAGCTGTTGGCATAATACCAACCTAGTAAGGAACGGGCAAATATCACGATATAAGTTATCTCCATTAGGACAGCCACCTTCTCATTCCGGACCGTTGATGTTAAAAATGTAAGATCTTACAATGACTAGCTGAAATCAAAGGAGGGAAGAAAACATCAATACTTATTAGAATCACAAGCTACCTATCTGTCTTTGATACCCGTGGACATCAATGTATTGATGTCGTTAGCATACCCATGTGAGATTACTAATCTACCTTATTAGTAAACTCAATGACACGGAAGTAGCCCTCCGAGGCTCCGAAATGTATGATAGGCACGCAGGCACGACATTGACAACGTAGAATTGATGAGATTGATCTGGATGTTGGTACACGGCCAACAAGACATGGACGGCGGGGCCAGCATAAGCAGACTCCACATATTAGCAACGACATAAGCAAAGCCCAGGCGTGATAACGGTTACTTCCTTACACTCTCGATAGTCATAATTTCGCATCGTTGCGACATGCCGTTGGAAAAGTATTAAAGCACGTATGAGGTGCAGTGTGTCGAGTGCCACGAAGTACTTCGCTTGCTTGATCATATCACATACGCTTACTATCCAGAGAACTCCCACCATTTCCGCTACCAAGCAGTTCTTCGTTCTCGCTCTTTCCCTATTTATGGTATTATGTAGTAAAATGGAGGAATTACCTTACAGAAGTCTGTGCAATGTAGTTTTGATATCGGTTTTAAGCGTAAGATTGTCGATTTTGTCATCTGATTTCCAAACAAGAATGTCGACTGATTTTCTTGCTAGTATATTGCCACTGTTGTGATTTACAACACCTTTTTCCACCCCTTATCAGGATTCCGTGGAAGACCTACATGGGTTGCATCGCGAGTTCCATTTATCTACACTATGCTTTCTGGGATACTTCCTTATCATATCAAGAAATTGCACGATGAATATGGTGCTGTTCTACGAGTTGCTCCAGACGAGCTGTCTTTTGCAGACCCTCGAGCATGGAAAGATATTTATCTGCAGAAGCAGTTTATCCGCCCGAAAGAATGGGGTTCTAGACCACCTGGCGTTGAGGCACACAATTTTATCACTGCTAACGCCATCGACCATGCTCGATTCCGCAAAGCTTTCCAACCAGCATTCTCAGACAGAGCCACGAAAATTCATGAACCAATTGTTAAAAAATACATAGATCTATTGATTCTTCGATTGAATGAAGCTATTGTCGGGCAGCGTACAGATAATGGTACTGTTGATTTAGTGCAATGGTTGAACTTTACAACATTTGACATCATCGGAGATCTGGGATGGGGTTCGTCTTTCAAATGCCTTCAAGAGAGCTCATATCATCCGTGGATTAAAGTGGTTCTTCATTTCAAAGCCGTGCTTATTGCAAATTCTATCAAATACTACCCATGGCTTGAAGCATTTCTCATGAAGATCACCCCAGCTTCAGCTCTCGAAGATCTACGCCAAGCCCTTGAGACAGGTCATCTTAGGGTCCAAGACCGACTTGATCATGATGTCAACCAACCTGATATTATGTCTCATGTCATCGATCACAACAAGTCTTCGACCGAGATGGCCCTTTCAACTGGAGAAATAGAGATGAACTCCATGGCCTTGGTTGTTGCAGGCAGCGAGACTCTAACAACTACTTTGGCCGCCGCAATTCACTTTTTACTTGAGAATCCCAAATGTCTAGAGACCTTGGAAAGGGAAATTCGCACAAACTTTAGCACGGAAGAGCAAATTACCAACGAGTCCACAATTTCGCTGCCGTATCTTATGGCTGTGCTCAACGAGTCGCTACGAATGTCTCCCCCATTTCCTGATAGTCTGAGGCGCGAGGTACCGAGTGGAGGTGCTACAATCGCAGGTCACTTTGTTCCCGGAGGCACAACTGTTTCAGTGGCATGCTGGTCTCTATTTCATTCATCAAACAATTTTGCGTCACCAGATGAATTTATCCCCGAGCGATGGCTGGAAAATTCTGGAAATCGGACCTCTGTGAACAAGCAAGCTGATCCCGAAAACGTATTTCATCCTTTCTCACTCGGCGCACATAATTGTATCGGTCAGCCGCTCGCTTGGATGGAGATGCGGCTTATTCTTTCGCGACTTATTTGGAACTTTCATATCCAAGTCCCTAGCGGGGAGAAGTTACAGAATTGGACTGACCAGAAGATCTTTTGGACTTGGGATAAAGTCCCACTCAATGTTCAGCTTATGCGTGTCGAGCGCTCTGAAAATTAGATAAACTTGAGGTAGGAATCATCTAAAACATAATTATACAACATGAACTGGGTGTAAACATTAATAAATATTTCGTGATATTAACTAGGTGTTCTCATAGGCTTTTTGAATGATGTGATGTACTTTCCGCGCCTCTCGACTGGTGGAATATCTGCATGATTCCCTCCTCAACAACCAAGGGAGCTGCACCCGCACTCCCAGAGTAATGTTTGCACTAACAATATGAGGTGAGTTGGGGGTACAGATTGTGGATGTCCGTATTCAGCACGCATAACTGCCTTTCTAAACAGTTTTCGCGACCTACGCAGCTAATGTTGACCATGAATCACGGTAGTGGAAACACTTTCTCCTCGGTCTCGATAGTATACAATGTCTTGATACTGGACTTCATTTATGGACATACAGTCAGGAAGATAACTGTATAAGACGAAGTTCCTTTACCAACTTTACTGGCAGAGCAGATACTGGTAGCTCTCGTTGATTTCACAACTATAACAGCTCAAAAGCGTTGAACCAAGAGCATCACTAAATAGTTGATAGCCAGATACTTTCTGAATATTAGATAAGTACTAACAGTTTAAGTTTTGTGACATATCCAATTGTGCCGAGTCAGTTAGAATGAGAATCAGTTTCATTCAATAATCGAGTACTTGAACATTAGGAATGATGTTCGTTTATCAGTGCGCCCGGTGACCCCGCCTGTTCATGACCTTCCCCACTCCGATAAGGGATATAACAAACGGGCTTTCTCTTTGCGAATCCGATATTCTGGTTACAGTGTTTACATCTACTCCTTCTCGATTGCTCACTGTTTGAGTTAAAAAAGTGAACCAAATCTTCAATTCAAAAATCCTGGTTTCTACTCTATCGGTGAATCCTTTGATGGCCTTCCCAAGAATACCTCACACCGGACAATCCGAAGCTCAGAGCCCACGAGTCACCATTATGAACTCCGATATATTTCCCAATCTACCCTCCTCTTTAAACCTACCAAACATCCAAGCCCTCATTATCATCTATACTTCCCTCATCTACCTGACCATCCTCCTTCTCCCCACTCTCCCCATCCTTCTCAACATTCAAAACTCAAACCTTCCCCCAGGCCCATGGTACACACATTTCACAAACTTAGTCCTAAAATACCATGAATGGAATGGTAATCGACGGATATATATCCATAATCTCCACGAGAAATATGGAGATAGCGTTCGAATAGGTGTAAAAGAGTTTGCCTTTTGCGGAATCGAGGGGGTGAAAGGTGTCTATGGAAACGAGGGAGGAGAGTTGGATAAGACAGGATTTTATGGACTTTTCAGACAATTGGGTGTTAGAACTACTTTTTCTACAGAAAAGAGGTTGGAGGTACGTTTCAATTTTTCAATCTTTTTGCCCTTCCCCTGTTGGAGCTGTTTTGTTGTGGATGTTTTGGAAAGTTGGGCTGGAATGGAGGGAACGGAGTGCAAGATGACTTTCATCATATTTGATCTCACAGGTCTAGAATCCTTCCAGTGAAAGATAGAAGAGAGAAAGAGGACAGTAACATTACTAATGACCTTCAACCAACTCGAAGCATAGAGAAAAGAAGAAGAATATCGCAAAGCCATACCGAAATTCCGAGGTCCGCAAACCTGTTATCATGGATGGTATTGAAGAAAGAAGTCAAGCATTCCTTCGAAAAGCTGGGGCCTCAGAGAGTGGATTCCTTGATGTTTATGTGAGTTATAATTTTCTCTAAAAACCTTTGTACTTTTTCCGAGTGAGGAAGATGACCGTTAACAAAATAACAGAGATATGCGCATTGTTTTGCACTAGATTGTGCCAGCCACTTTTTACTCGGAAAGAGGGGAACCAAATCTATCGAAGAGAAAGCTGGTATGGAGATAATGGAAGAGATGACGTATCACTCAAGTCTCAAGAGTAAGTTTTTTTGCCTCCACTTCTTCTGAACACTCCCCTCTATAATCCCCTCAAAATAATCCCTCGACTTTCCAATCTCACACCCTCACAGACCAACTTCTAACCCTCTACCTCCAACCCCTCTCCACCTTCTTTCTCTCCCTCTTTTCTCAACGCTCCACTCCTTTAACCAATACATACATCCTCTCCTCATGTCGCCACCCAACCCAAGAACCACAATCTCTCCTCCACGCCCTCCAACACGCGTTCCCCCCCTTTTCAGAAACCCAAAACGCAGCCGAGATACTAGATCATCTAGCTGCTGGTATCGATACCACCGGCGCATCTCTCACCTACCTCCTACACACCCTCTCCCTCCCCTCCCACCTACCCATCCAAGAAAAACTCCACGGTTCCCTCACCTCTCATCCCCAGAACATCCTAGAATCCAAAGAATCATCCACCCGCTACCTCGACGCCATCATCACCGAAACCCTCCGTCTCTACCCCCCAATTCCCATGTCCCAGCCCCGTCTCACACCATCATCCAAGCCCAGAATCATCGATCAATATCTCATCCCCCCAAACTCAACCGTAAGTGTCCAAGCATGGACTCTCCATCGGAATCCCGCGATATTCGGCGATGACGCCGAGGTATTCTGTCCAGAGCGATGGCTTGTGGATGAAGATAGAGTGAGAGAGATAGAAAGGGGATTTTTGGCTTTTGGCAGAGGAGGAAGAGCGTGTACGGGGAGAGAGTAAGTTTACTTTTTCTTCTTTTCTGCTATTTTCTTTCTTATTTTTTGAATTTCCCTTTCCTTCGAGACCGAGAGGGAATATGAATGATGGGCGATACATGGTGATATAAAACTAATACCCATATCCCCACAGTCTAGCACTAGCAGAAATGCGTCATCTCATACAAAAAATATATACGCAGTATAGAACGAGGATAAAAGAAGGATACGAAGCAGATATGGAGATGGAAGATCAGATTATCTCTAGTAGACCGAGAGGTCAGGAGTGTATTTTGATCTTTGAGAGGAGATAGAGAGCCATATATACACAGAGATTATGAATTGACAAACTTGGAGGACGTTTGGTTGGGAAAAGAAGTGACGGCGGTGAAGTTTGGTAATCTTGTGTGTAGATACAAGTTTCAATGCTCTCACTGGAATATGTATCACTCGAAGTAACACGATCAATGATGCGAGATATACATTTAAGATCATCGAATAATATTGTTAAAAAATATCTTAAAGAACCGGGGTTTTCAAAATGGCAGACCACCGCGATTCAACTGCATCGACAAAATACAACGCCTAATAATAAAGTTATATCCACCATCCATGCATGGGTGTATATTATCTTTAAAATATCAATTCTCAACGACTGATGGAGCAGGAGCATGCTCGAATCGAAGATGGAGTTTACCAGCAGATGGACCGCAGGTGTATCCATCCATCTGATCGACACCATCGTCGTTTATGACCAAAGTGCTGAAATTGGTGTAGATGGCCGCTACTATGAGTTTGATTTCTAGAATGATGGTTAGTTCTTTTTAATCCTTTGCTCGAAGAGCTCGAAGAGCTCGAAGAGGAGAAAAAGCAGTTGACACGAAAAGGAAAGATACAGAACGAGGCAAAAACCAAAGATAAAAGAGCTGGAGAAACTAACCAAGCATAGCAAAATTGCTCCCAATACACATCCTTCCTCCACTACTAAAAGCCCAAAACGTCCTATCCCTGTCACGTTTCTGCTCCTCCGTCATACCATTTCCCTCCATCCATCGCATGTAGTCGAATCTCTCGGGCTCTGGAAAAACCTGTTCATTTCGATGGACACTGTGAGCTTGCGCACCGATTCTAACACCACCAGGAATATTCTTGTAGGCGCCAATATCGCAACTAGGATATGGAGTCATGCGGGGAAGACCACCTGGAATAGCAGCGCGGAGACGAAGAGTTTCCATCAGGACTGCGTGGAGGATGGGAAGAGCATCGAGTTCTTTACGATCGGAGATTGTTGGAGGTTTAGAGGATGTAGATGTGGGCGAGAAAAGCATATTTGGTGAAAGGGTCAGAAGTTCCTCTCTTAAAGATTTTTGAAGCATGGGATCGATAGATAAGTGCCATGCCAAATATGTAACTGTTATCCCTGCGGTTTCGTGGCCAGCAGCAAGATGATCGATCATCTCACTGCATATACTACGATCTGGAAACCTGAGTGTTTCCTCCTTGAGAACGGAGTCCGCACCACGCATTTTACTTTCTTTTTCAATGCCAGATACCATCGCGTTGTACACTACCGGTTCATTGCCAGGTTCCGTGTCCCATGTTCCGCCCTCCTTGAGAAATTTGGCAGTAGCTTCACAGCGATGTTGACACCATTCTTCCAACTCATCATTGGCGGAATCGACAAATGTGGGAACGATACGATACATGTAAGCATTGATGAAACGAGTGAGGCGGGGAAGTTCTTGTGAATAGAAAGTATAACGATGGCGGCCTTGATAAAGTCTCATCCAATGCCTTCTATATGAGACATCTTTAATAAAGTTGGCACTATTCTTGAGTCCAAATAGGTATGAAGAGACGAAGTCCATAGTAGTGCCATTGAATAAATCGTAAACGTCAACTCCATGAGGACTTGAAGACGAGGCCAAGTTTGAGATAGCAGGTAGAAGACGTTCATAAAGAATGACTCTCGCTTGTTCAGCCAAGGCAGATGACGATAATAATGTAGACTTTGAGTAGGTATTCGAAATCATTCTCTTTCGAGAAGAATGATTCTTCGAGGGGAGCGTGGAAAACATACATGGGATACTACCACGTGGTTAGAGAATTTCGCGCAAAAATCTTGCAAGGAAATGAATTACCCAAAATTATCAAAGAAAGAATACCACTTCCCCTTTTCAAACCCACCGCCATATACAGTTCGAATGCCCTCTACATCATTAGTAGAAAGCTCATTCGGACCTAGTCGAATTAAGGGACCCAGTTGTCTGTGTAGCGCATGAACCGTCCTATTTTCCCGACACCGAAATCGCTGAAAGAGAATCCAGGTAGGAGAAAATGGAGAAGACCAGTGTGCATTTGGAACCT